AAAGTTGAAGAGCAACAAGTGCCAATTGCGACCACAACAGTGCACCGGCAGCAATATCGCACCAACCGAGACTCCCTGATTCCCATCCATCAGCTGATCCGTAGACTGGAGAGTCAGGGGGTGATCAGCAGGACCCGCTCACCCTTTAATAGCCCCATATGGCCAGTGCGAAAGTCTAATGGAGAATGGAGACTAACAGTAGACTATCGTGGCCTGAATGAAGTCACACCACCATTGAGTGCTGCCGTACCGGACATGCTAGAACTTCAGTATGAACTAGAGTCAAAGGCAGACAAGTGGTATGCCACGATTGATATTGCCAATGCATTTTTCTCCATTCCTTTGGCAGCAGAGTGCAGGCCACAGTTTGCTTTTACTTGGAGGGGTGTCCAGTTCACTTGGAATCGACTGCCCCAGGGGTGGAAACACAGCCCTACCATTTGCCATGGACTGATCCAGACTGCACTGGAACAGGGGCAAGCTCCAGAACACCTGCAATACATTGATGACATTATTGTGTGGGGCGATACAGCGGAAGAAGTCTTTGAGAAAGGGAGGAAAATAATCCAAATCCTGCTGAAAGCCGGTTTTGCCATAAAACGGAGTAAGGTCAAGGGACCTGCACAGGTGATTCAGTTTTTGGGAATAAAATGGCAAGATGGACGTAGACAGATCCCCACAGATGTGATCAACAAGATAACAGCAATGTCTCCACCAACTAATAAGAAAGAAACGCAAGCTTTCTTGAGTGCTGTGGGGTTCTGGAGAATGCACATCCCAAATTACAGTTCGATTGTAAGCCCTCTCTATCATGTGACCCGGAAGAAGAATGATTTTAAATGGGGCCCTGAGCAGCAACAATCCTTTGAGCAAATTAAACGCGAGATAGTTCATGCAGTAGCCCTTGGACCTGTCCGGACCGAGCCAGATGTAAAAAATGTACTGTACACTGCAGCTGGGGAGAACGGTCCTACCTGGAGCCTCTGGCAGAAAGCTCCAGGGGAGATTCGAGGTCGACCCCTCGGCTTTTGGAGTCGGATATATAAAGGATCTGAGGCCAGCTATACCCCAACTGAGAAAGAGATACTGGCAGCCTATGAAGGGGTTCGAGCTGCTTCGGAAGTGATTGGCACTGAAGCACAGCTCCTTCTGGCACCCCGGTTGCCCGTGCTGGGCTGGATGTTCAAAGGCAGGGTCTCCTCTACACATCATGCAACTGATGCTACATGGAGTAAATGGGCTGCACTAATTACACAACAAACTCGAATAGGAAATCCCAGTCGTCCAGGCATTCTAGAAGTCATCATGGACTGGCCAGAGGGCAAAGATTTTGGAATGTCACCAGAGGAGGAGGTGGTGCGCGCTGAAGAGGCCCCACCATATAATAAACTGTCAGAAAATGAAAAGCAGTATGCCTTGTTTACTGATGGCTCTTGCCGTATTGTGGGAAAGCATCGGAGATGGAAGGCAGCTATATGGAGTCCTGGATGACAAGTTGCAGAAACTGCTGACGGAGAGGGTGAATCAAGTCAGTTTGCCGAGGTGAAAGCCATCCAGCTGGCCCTGGACATTGCTGAACGAGAAAAGTGGCCAGTACTTTATCTCTATACTGACTCATGGATGGTGGCAAATGCCCTGTGGGGGTGGTTGAAGCAATGGAAGCAGAGCAACTGGCAACGCAGAGGTAAACCCATCTGGTCTGCTGCACTGTGGAAAGATATTGCTGCCAGGGTGCAGAACCTGGTGGTGAAGGTACGTCATGTAGATGCCCATGTACCCAAGAGTCAGGCCACTGAGGAACACCAGAACAACCAACAAGTGGATAAAGCGGCTAAGATTGAAGTGGCTCAGATGGACTTAGATTGGCAGCATAAAGGTGAATTATTTTTGGCCCGGTGGGCCCATGACACTTCAGGCCATCAGGGCAGAGATGCAACATATAGATGGGCCTGTGATCGAGGGGTGGACTTAACAATGGACACTATTGCCCAGGTGAGTGAAACATGTGCGTGAAACATGTGCTGCAATTAAACAAGCCAAGCGGTTAAAGCCTCTTTAGTATGGAGGACGATGGTTGAAGTATAAATATGGGGAGGCCTGGCAGATTGACTAGATCACACTGCCACCAACCCGCCAAGGCAAGCGGCATGTGCTTACCATGGTGGAAGCAACCACCAGGTGGCTGGAAACACATGCTGTGCCCCATGCCACTGCCCGGAACACTATCCTGGGCCTTGAGAAACAGATTTTGTGGCGACACGGCACCCCAGAGAGAATTGAGTCAGACAATGGGACTCATTTCCGGAATAACCTTATAGATATTTGGGCCAAAGAGCATGGCATTGAGTGGGTATATCACATCCCCTACCATGCACCAGCCTCTGGGAAAATCGAACGGTACAATGGGCTGTTAAAAACTACACTGAGAGCAATGGGTGGGGGAACTTTCAAGCATTGGGATACACACTTACCAAAGGCCACCTGGTTGGTCAACACCAGAGGATCTGCCAACAGGGCCGGCCCAGCCCAGTCAGAACTTTTACATATTGTAGAGGGGGACAAAGTTCCCGTGGTGCATATGAAGAATTTGCTGGGGAAGACAGTCTGGGTTATTCCTGCTTCAGGTAAAGGCCAACCCACTCGTGGGATTGCTTTTGCTCAGGGACCTGGATATACTTGGTGGGTAATGCAGGAAGATGGGGAAGTCCGATGTATACCTCAAGGGGATTTGATTTTAGGGGAAAACAGCCAGTGAACTCAATTGTATGCTGTTGCCTGCTGTGTAATGCTTTTATAGCCCATCAACTAGATGTCTCCAGGTCACCAGAGACTGGCCCTGACTTCCCTCCAGCCATCATCCCAACAGAGAATGAACTTTGAACATCATGGACCGAATGGACTCGTCAGCATTATAGGGATTGGTCCATGCACTAGGAAAATGATCTTTTCCTCTTGGTCTGTATGTATATGGATGTATATATATGGGAGAGCGATGGTGTATTGAAAATGTGGGATCTGAGCACGACATGAATGGTATGGAATAAGGGGTGGATAATGTCCTGGGTTCAGCAGTACCAGTCATGTTTTTTTTTTTCCTTTGTGGTAGCTGGTACAGTGCTGTGTTTTGACTTCCAGCCTGAGAACAGTGTTGGTGAAGTCGATGTTTTCAGTTGTTGCTAAGTGATGTTTACCCTGACCAAGGACTTTGTGAGGCTCATGCTCTGCCAGGGAGGAGGGGAAGCCGGGAGGAAGCAGAGACGGGGCGCCTGACCCGGGCTAGCCAGGGAGGTATTCCATACCACAGCACGTCATGGCCAGGGTGGGGGGTGACTGGGAGTTACCCGGAAGGACACGGGGCTTCCGGGTGGAACTCGTTTTCTTGGCCGGTGGTATCGTATTCTCTTCCCTTGTTATTTTCCCTTATCATTGTTGTAGTTGATAGTAGCGGTGGTGATTTGTGTACATTGGTTGCTGGACTGTTCTTGTCTCAACCCGTGGGAGTTGCATTTTTTTTGATCCTCCTCCCCGTTCCTCCGGGAGTGGGGGAGAACCCCGGTGGGGGGGGGACACGGGCCTCGATTGTCGTCAGCTCGGCACCACTCACTGGGAGTGAGTGAACAAGTTACCTGACTGGGTTTAAACCACGACAATCTCATAGGACATTTGTGTAATAACCAGCTGCCCCAGCAGCCCCTGCCCCTGCAGTGGGATAGGGAGAAGAACTGAATGTTGTGGTTTAAGCACAGCCACGCAGCTCACTCTCTCACTAGCCCCCTTTCCTCCCCCCTGCTCCCGGAAGGACGGGGAGGACAATCGAAAGAATGTAACTCCCATGGGTTGAGATAAGAAAAGTCCAGTAACTAAGATATAACACAAGCCACTACTGCTACCAATCAATCATAATAATGGTAAGGGAAATAACAAGGGAAGAGAATACAACCGCTCACCACCCACCGACCGATACGCAGCCCAACCCTGGCAGTGATCTAGTCCTCCTGGCTAACTGCCCCCAGTTTATATACTGGGCATGACGTGCTGTGGTATGGAATACCTCTTTGGCTAGTTTGGGTCAGGTGTCCTGTCTCTGCTTCCTCCCAGCTTCCCCTCCTACCTGGCAGAGCATGAGACTCAGTCCTTGGTCAGAGTAAATATTACTAAACAGCAACTAAAAACATTGTTGTTATCAGTGTTGTTCTCAGGCCTAAAGTAAAAACCACAGCACTGCACCAGCTACTAGGAAGGAGAAAAAATGACTGCTACTGTTGAACTCAGGACACTGGAAAAAGGTTGTCGTGGTTTAAACCCAGTCAGGTAATTCGTTCGCTCACTTCCCCCCCCTTTCTTGCCCTCCCCCTGCTCTCGGAGGGACGGAGAGGAGAATCAAAAGAATGCAACTCCCACGGGTTGAGATAAGAACAGTTTAGTAACTAAGGTATAACACAAATCACTACTGCTACCACCAATGATAATAATGATAAAGGAAATAACAAGGGAAGAGAATACAACACCTCACCACCCGCTGACCGATAACTCGCCCCCCAAGCCCGACCAAGCTCTGACCGATACCTCCTCCAACCCTGCAGTCTCCCAGCCCTTCCGGCTAACTCCCAGTTACATCCTGGGCATGACGTGCTGTGGTATGGAATACCTCTTTGGTCAGTTTGGGTCAGGTGTCCTGTCTCTGCTTCCTCCCAGCTTCCCCTCCTCCCTGGCAGAGCATGAGGCTCACAAAGTCCTTGGCCAAACCAAAACATCTCTATCAGCTCTGTTCCCGAGCCGAAAGTCAAAACACTGCACTGCACCAGCTACCAAGGAGGAGAAACATGACTGCTACTGCTGAACCCAGGACATTATCCACCCCTTATTCCATACCATTCACGTCATGCTCAGATCCCACATTTTCAATATACCATCACTCTTATCTTGGTGCACTCTTATCTTAGTGCATGGACCAGTCCCTATAAAGCTGCTGCGTCCATCTGGTCCATGTCAGACTCCATCTCTTGTAACAGTCTTCCAGAGCAGGAGAGACTGTGTGCAGTGTTCACACTCGTGAATAATCTGGGCAATAGTGTCCATTGTTAAGTCCACCCCTCGATCATGAGTCCATCTCTGTGTTGCATCTCTGCTGTGATGGCCTGAAGTGCCATGGGCCCACCAGGCTTAAAATAATTCACTGTCCCCTTAAGCAGTTTCTGCAGCTTCTTGCTGGGGACTCCATACAGCTGCCTTCCATCTCCGACGCTTCCAAAGCACTGGAGGGGCCCAGTGGACTAGATACTTGCCCATACTGTCCCACACACCCTGCCACTCATGACTCTCCAGCCTTGGGGAAAATCTCTTGGTCCCCCTATATTGTTGTCTAACCCCAGACAAGACCCAAACCTGACTCTGCTTAACTTTTGAGATCAGACAAAATGGTTGTGGGTAGAACACAGCCTGTGTGTGTGCCAACATGCTGATCCCCATCACAATCAGCAGGCAGGTCCCAAGGATACCCAAAGGCCATTCAGAGCCTTCACAACTCTCAGTTGATGCTGCTGTGCTTGTCACTGGGGCTGGTGTAGCTGCTGTGCTTGCCGGCTCTCCCACCGCCAGCTTCTCTTTTCCCGAGTCCAGCTCTTCCTCCTCTGCCTTGCTGGGAAATGCTGCGTGGTCTCCTGCATCCTCCTGGGGCTCGGCGGGCGGCTGCCGGGGAATGCTCTCGGCCGTCGCGGGGCTGGGCTCCTCCGCGGGGCTGGGCTCCTCCGCGGGGCTCGGCTCCTCCGCCGGGCTCGGCTCTTCCGCGGGGCTCGGCTCCTCCGCCGCCTTCTCCCGCTGCTCGGCAGCCGCTTCCTTCTCCTCCTCGACCGCCCCGGCCTCCTCCACCGGCAGCCGTCCCCTGGCGGCCTCCGGCCCCGCTCCCGCCGCCGCTTGGTCCCCGGGGCCGCTCTCCCGGGCCGCTTCAGCAGCCGCCGGCTCCCGGGACCGCTCCCCCCCAGTTCCCCGCAGCCTCACGAAGATGGAGAGTAGGGCGAGGGCCAGGACGGTGAAGAGCAGCCGGACGGCCAGGTACAAGTCCACGGCCACGTCCGTCCCGCCCTGCTGCTGGAGCCCGCCCGTATTACAAGCCATTGCCATAAAGCACAGTGAGACAAGAACCTTAGCCCAGGCCCCACACTTGATAAACACTATCACAGCAAATACCGGCTCTACGTAAGTTACAACGGTCTGAAGCTGTGAGATCAAGAAGAACAACTCTGATACCCAATAAATCAGCATTGTGACGAATGACTATTAATCCAGTCAAATCTGTCGTTATCTCAACCCTTCGTGCCCCACGTTGGGCGCCAAAAAGAACTGTCGTGGTTTAAACCCAGTCAGGTAATTCGTTCGCTCACTTCCCCCCCCTTTCTTGCCCTCCCCCTGCTCTCGGAGGGACGGAGAGGAGAATCAAAAGAATGCAACTCCCACGGGTTGAGATAAGAACAGTTTAGTAACTAAGGTATAACACAAATCACTACTGCTACCACCAATGATAATAATGATAAAGGAAATAACAAGGGAAGAGAATACAACACCTCACCACCCGCTGACCGATAACTCGTCCCCCCAAGCCCGACCAAGCTCTGACCGATACCTCCTCCAACCCTGCAGTCTCCCAGCCCTTCCGGCTAACTCCCAGTTACCTCCTGGGCATGATGTGCTGTGGTATGGAATACCTCTTTGGTCAGTTTGGGTCAGGTGTCCTGTCTCTGCTTCCTCCCAGCTTCCCCTCCTCCCTGGCAGAGCATGAGGCTCACAAAGTCCTTGGCCAAACCAAAACATCTCTATCAGCTCTGTTCCCAAGCCGAAAGTCAAAACACTGCACTGCACCAGCTACCAAGGAGGAGAAACATGACTGCTACTGCTGAACCCAGGACAAAGGTAAACCGCACAGGTTGAGATAAGTACAGTTTAATAATTGGAATAAAGTATAATATAATACTACTAATAATATGCTAATAATAATTATAATGAAAAAAAGAGATTACAGAATCAATTAGGTTTGAAAAGACCTTTAAGATCATTAAGTCCAACCCCAGGAATTCCAAAACCACCACAAAACCAAGTCACTAAGGGCCTCATCTACACACTTTTTGAATACTTCTATGGACAGCGATTCCACCACTTTGCAGGGAAGCCTGTTCCAATGCCTGACTAGCTTTTCAGTCAAGAATTTTTTCATAATATCCAGGCTAAACCTCCTCTGGCACAGCTTGAGGCTGTTACCTCTTGTCCTATCACTTGGGAGAAGAGAACAGTCATCTCCTTGCTCCATCCTCCTTTCAGGCAGTTGTAGAGAGTGATAAGGTCCCCACTGAGCTTTCTCTTCTCCAGACTAAATGACCTGAGTTCCCTCAGCTGTTCCTCATAAGACATGTGCTCTAAGCCCTTTACCAACTTTGTTGCCCTTCCCTGGACCCACTCCAGCAACTCAGTCTCTCTCTTCTAGTGAGGGACCCAGAACTGAACACAGTATTCAAGGTGAGGCTTCACCATTGCCGAGTACGAGGGACAACCACTGCCCACAACCAGCTGGCCACACAATTGCTGATACAAGCCAGGATGCCGTTGGCCTTCTTCGCTGCCTGGGCACACTACTGGCTCATATTCAGCTTTGTCAATCAGCACCCCCAGGTCCTTTTCCAATGAGCAGCTTTCCACCCAAGCCTGTAGCACTGCATAGGGCTGTTGTGGCCCAAGTGCAGGACCTGTCACTGAGCCTTGTTGAACGTCATACCACTGGCCACATCCCATGGATCCAGCCTGTCCATACCCCTCTGCAGGGTCTTTCTTCCCTCCAACCATTCTATGATTACAGATGACTACGTTTTATTTCTTTGGAAAAAATCACAGAAATCTGTGAAGAGAAACAGCAAAACATGTGATGTATTCATAGAAATTCTGCAGAGTATGACCACTGTAAGCAATGGCTTACGTGGTGGGCTGACCTTGGCTGGATGCCAGGTACCCACCAAGCTGTTTTATCACTCCCGGTCTTCAGCTGGACAAGGGAGAAAAATGATGGAAGGCTCATGTGTCAAGATAAGAACAGGGACAGATCACTCACCAATTATTGTCTGTGATGGTCAAGAGACTCTTTTTGTGTTTGTCTCAAAACAACTCAAAAGATAGAAGGACCTGACAATTTATTATCACTTGGGCAAATGGCAGGGAGGCAGAGCAGGGGATCCTGCTCCAGGAAGGCCGAGGATGCTTTCCCATGATGTTAGCCTTGAGGCCATGAAGATCAATTGCCCAGGCAACAAACTGCCTAGAGATAGTGTGACAGATACTGGGGTGCCAGTCAGGACAGTTAACGGGGTCTGGAGACTCACCAGATGCCCCCAAAAATGAGTCTCCACCCATGCAAGGGTGCCAAGAGACCCTGACCCTATAAAAAGTCAGCCATCTTTCAAAGTCAGCCATGTGGTGCACACCTCTCCATCCTGGACCCCAGTGGACTCACTGACTACAAGGACTCCAACTGAAAATTTCTACTCACTGACCAAGAAGACAGGACTGGATCCATGGGGTGACACTATTTCATTGTTTTCTTTCCTTTCTCATTTTCTTCTTCTACTTTATGTCTTTTATAAGATTAAGAACCTACCTAGACTTTTGCTTCTCCTGACACAGTTAAGGGAAGTTTACAATAAAATATTTTTTTTATTTTATTTTTTAGCCTCTGGAGAGCCTGTGACTTCTCCTGTGAACTGTGCAGAGTATTATAAAAGATTACCACTGAAGAATGGGGTTGACTGAAGAATAGGGTGTGTAAGCGGCAAGGAGAAGCAGACAGGCCAACCCAGTATGGGTGATAAGCAAACTTCTACTTTATTTGTGACGCAATTCACATATATATGGGAGTGGTATTCAGCCACTCCTCCTTGGCACAACAGTATTGGTTGGCCCCACACAGCTTCCTCCACATTCTCCTCCCTTGTCCGGTTTCCGGCTACCTGTGGGGGCCACCCCCTGCCTTGCTCGCACAGTCCTCCAGGGCTCTATGGTCCTGCTCTTAGAGTCATTCTGCAACAATTCCCCCCTTTTTCTTTGTGCGAGCAAGGCATTGTGGGTTATTCTGTTCACCTGTTTTATCACACAACTATAAGCAAGTCTAATAGCTACGATGATTAACCTAACAATGACACATAAGTGCAATACTTTAAACAGCAGTGTTTGACTCAACCTGTAATGCCCCGTGAAGACAACCATCTAGTTATTCTTAGGATATTGCTCATTTACTATTGCTGGGTAAGCTGAGCCAGGGTTCTCAGCTGTGCGTGCATCGAATTAGCATAATCAGAGAGACTCATACAACACATTCCATCAAACTCTTCACATCCATGTCCCTGTTCCAACAACAAAAGGTTCTGCAGTGTTGCATGTCTTACAGAGTCAACATAAAATCAAATCAGAAATTGCCTTCGATGTAGAATTGTCTGCTTAGCAACTCAGCAACCCAGTCTGCTTAGTTGAGCCAAGGCCCCGGCTGAAGCACTTACAGTGATTTGGCATATTATGATTGGATACATGTTTTGAAGACCCTTAGTGACTAGCATATAATTGGTTAAACACAGGTGTGAGAACTCAACCTTGAAAGCTTGCCAACAGTCCACAGTTCTCATTAACTTGGTGAATTCCAGCCTCTTATCTTGCTTGCTTAAGCTTCTTTGGGCCTCCCATGGCCTTGCTGTATCTTTCAGGACTATTCAAAGTTTATGTACCAATTATGCATTCTCCCGTGAGAACACTGTCTCCACATCTTCCCCCTTTATGTTTTTTATATATGGTTTGGGTGACCCTACTTGAGCAGGGGATTTGGGCTAGATTATATCTCCCTGCCCCTTTTTTTCTGCTGTATGGCTCTCTGGTAACAGGCTGTATAGCTCTCTGATCCTTCACATCAAGGTCTGGCATGGCATGTGTCCCCACCGCTCCACGCCTGCTGGGTTGCAGCCAACAGGGGAGCTAAAGGTTCTTCTTGGTGGCAAACACAGAAGCCAACCCAGTCTTGCCCTTGATTGTGGTAGCAGGCATTTGGTCAGCCTCAGTCCTTGCACCTTGTTGTCAATGCACAGTTTC